CGACATGAACTCGGCGCTGAGGTCTTCTACCAGTACTGAGTGGCATGGCCCGCTCACCTCTCTGAGCCCGGACGGTAGGATCTGGCAGCCAAAGGCTGACTATGCCACGGATGCTGAACGCACGTCCGCGTCGGCATATATGGAGAGTGACCGTTTCCGTCCGACCGGTGTTGAACAACTGTTTGTTTTTGAAAACATGTTTTGCAACCTCGTCTCCAAGTCTCCCCAACCTCATGATGTGATGGACGCGACCTGCCCCACTGTTGATACAGGATGTCAACGGCTCGCCATTGGAGCACGCACCCTTCGAGAGTTTGCTCAACATCTCCCTGAACCCCTGAAGATTACCCTCACTCCAGAAACTAACAGGTTCAGGAGCGTGCATCAGACATCAGTCACGACCAAGGTTGCCACCATTCCGTGTTCCTTGGGTAACAAGGGAAGCTTCCTGAAGCCCGCCGTGTTTGAAAACGAGGAAAGCTCTGGTGCGCCCTTCCTCATCTCACTCAGCTTCTTACTTCATTGTCATGGAGAAGTTATTCTCTGTCATGAACAAGGCCTCCAGTTACGACTCCGAGGAACTTCAGAACCAGTACCCCTTCACCTTGGACCAACTGGCGCTTTACGAATTCCACTTCAACAATACAACCAGGTGCAAAAACAAGAACTTGAACGAGAACAGAAATCGATGAACCAGAGTACCTCGGTCGAGTTTGAGGTCTTGAAATTGCAGGACGGCTGCATGGAACCGCCGAAGCTGAGTACAATTCAAGCCTCGAGCCCACTAGCTACTCCGCATCCAGCCGCTTGCCATGCAGACCGCGGGCCAGAAGCGAGTTCGCGCCGGTCCAACTCCCGAGGAAGAGGACTTCCAACAACATCGAGTCCTTCAATCGTGGTTCCGCCTGATGAGGCGCTTCCTCCTGGCGCTCATGCCCCTTCAGCAGATGCTGGAAAGGTTCATGGATCACATGCTCAGTACAAAACCTCACCGGGAGGCCCTGAAGGAGATGATCCGGTCCTTGCCAGACGAGGATCTCCCCATGATCCAGAATGTGGCCCGCCAGGAGATGAATCGACGAGAGGACACCGGCCATCGACCTCAGGCAGACGGATACTGGTCCAACCTCAGCGAGACCAGCACTCATCCAGCTCGTCGACCACGACCTCCTCCAGACCCAGTTCTCACCGAAAGATGCCGGCAGATCAACAGTCTACCAGGTATCGAGATGATCTTGGAACCACGTCCAAGATGCCAGTGTGCCCTTCAGTGCAAGATCCATCTCAGCGATTCGGGTCCAACGGGACACAACTACAAGAAGCTGTACTTCCGCTGCCCCTTGGAGCAGGGACATCAATGCCGATTCGTCAAGTGGTGCGACCAACAGCCTCTCTTGAGCCTGGAAAGCTGGCGTCACCGGCAACAGCCCGGCGACGAGCCTGTGAGCTACGCCCAGATCTTGGAGGCCATGATTCAAACCAAATGCCAGCACAAGGAAACCCATCGGAAAGGTTCGAACGCCTTCCTCACCAAGGTCACCTGCAGGATCTGCAACAAGGTCATCAAGGTCCGAGAAGATCGGAAAGATGGAGGGGACCAAGTCCAAGGCCAGCACGACATCCTCAAGCTCGGTACCACACTCTCGTCAGGGAATCCCCTCACCAGCGACTCCTCAGACCACCTCGGACGGCACCGACCTGGAGCACCTGACCGACTATCAGGAATTTCAAGAATATCTCCGTTGGAAGAACCAACGGCAGCCTCCGAACCGGGAGGACCAATGAAGCAGGTGACTCCGAAGCTGGAACGGAAGCTTCGTGCTGCAATTAAGAAGGCAACGGCTTTTTGGCGAGAGCTTCAGCTGCTCCTGGCCGATATGCCTTTGCAGTGTTGGGCCCAGGCCCTAAATGACGAAATTTGCCAGGAGTTCACTATGAACCCAGCCGGCACAAAAAGATCTCGCGAAATAGCAGAAGTTATGGGATTGACAGTTAAACAACTTAAGACGGTTGCTGAAGTGTATAATCCTGGTTGTTTTCAGAAGATCACTGGTCGTTTTCACTTGTCTCCCGGCCGCGCTTTCGATTTGATTCTAGGAGATGACTTGCTGTCCACAAACAAACAAAACGAAGTCTGGCAGTATGTTCAAACGACCAAACCAGGACTTGTTTGCATCGCACCACCTTGCAAAATGTACACTCAACTTCAAAACCTTTCTAAGGAGAAACGCGCTCGACTGCCTGATCTCATGAAACGATACTTGAAAAACAAGGCAGAAGGTGATAGGTTACTGACTTTCGCCATCCGGTTGTGCGAATCCTGATGACCTTGGGATCAAGTTCATATTTGAGCACCCGCATGCCGCATCATCCTGGAAACATCGTGCCATGGAGCGGCTGCTGGCTCGACCGAATGTCATCTACACGAAGGCTGATCAATGCCAGTATGGACTACAGGGTCAATCTGGCCTTCCTCAAAGAAAACGAACTGGGTTCGCAACAAACTCAGAGGCCATATCTCAGGCCCTATGCAAGCTTTGTCCTGGCAACCACGAGCATGAGGTTATCATTGGAGGTAATCGTTCCCAAAGATCACAGGTCTACCCGGAGAAACTCCGAGCAGCCATCCTGAAGGCCTACAGCCAGTCCATCAACGTCGCTCATGTTGAAACAGTCAGCTCGGAAAGCATGCTGGCCGAGAACCACAGGCTAAACTACATCATCGACACTGAGTTCAGGGCGCTGAAGAGCCTACAACCAGAAGTACCTGTTGGTCTTACAGAATGCCAAGACCCCGATTCTCGAGTTCCTGACGGCCCAGATTCTCGCCTACCGGAAGTACCGGCCTACGACACCGCCGAGATCTTCGCACATGGAGAGGATCAAGAAACCCATGAACCAAACGGATCAGGAGACCAAGAGGATGATCTGGAACCACCACACGAAAGGGAAGATGAAGAAGGCGAAGCTCAGGAAGTACCTGAACAACAACTACCACTCCATTCACGTTTTCCACTGGAACGCCTTCTGCACAGAGCACATGTTGGTCTGGGACACCCGACCCCAGATCGATTTGTCAGGATCCTTAGGTACGCAAAAGCCAAACCCGAAGTCATTGAGGCTGCCAAGCATCTCCGATGCAGTGTCTGTCAACGACACTCCCAAGTGAAGCCTGCTCGAAGAAGTGCTCCACCGAAAGAACTGGCCTTCAACGAATGCATTGGGGTGGACGTCATCTTCCTGCCAACCCTCGGTAGTCGGTCACGCCCAGCTCTAAACATCATCGACTGGTCCAGCAAGTTTCAACTCATGATCCCCATGGATAACAAGAAACCAGGCCATGTACGAGAGGCCCACAGACATTGGCTACGTCTATTCGGCCCTCCAAAACGAATGGCCCTGGACCTGGGACGTGAATTCCGAGGAGCCTTCGCAGAACAAGCAGAACAAGACGGAACTTTTGTCGACCCCTCGGCAGTTGAGGCTCCACATCAACGAGGCATCACTGAACGTCACGGAAAAACCTTTAAGTATCTCCTCCAGAAGACCATGGACACCTTCAGCTGTGCCAACATGAAGGAGTGGGAGAAAATGGTCGACATCACCATGATGACCAAAAATAGAATGATGAACGTTGGAGGTTTTAGCCCCAGCCAACGGGTGTTAGGCTTCAATCCCTTCCTACCCGGAGGTCTTCTTAGTGGAGATGATGGTCACCGAGGACAACAACCAGAAGCCAAAGTCGGCGACCTCAGTGTCGAACGGGCCATGAAGCTTCGAAAGGCTGCTGCACATGCCTTCATCGAAGCAGATGCCAGTAACTCCCTCCGAAGAGCAGTAGCTTCGGGCCCCCGACCCATCCTGGAGTATGACATCGGCGAGATTGTCTACTTCTTCCGAATGGGAGCTGACAAGAAACTGAAGTTCAAACCATGTTACTGGCACGGGCCGGCAAGAATCATCATGATCGACCAACCTAGCACCATGTGGTTATCATACCAATCTCAACTGGTCAAAGCCAGCCCAGAGAGAATCCGAAGAGCCTCGTTGGAAGAGAACATGGCACTATCTGGATGGTTGGAAGATCTCGTGCAGCTGAAGAAGGACATTGTCACGGAACCGATTCGAGGATTCCTGGACCTGTCCGACCAGCCGCTCCCCGAGATCTTAGACGATGAAGCCAACAATGAGGAGTACACTCCGACCGAACCAGATGAAACTCCAGACCAGAACATTCCAATGGAACCAGCACTACTACCAGGACTACAAGAACCCATGGGCTACCCAAGACCATTGAAACGCTATCGAGAAAAAGGGCCACAAGATAATTTGGTTGATGATGATGGACAATCTCCCCAACCAGAACCTGATGACGAACGACCAGGAGAACCTCAACGAGATGAAGAGGTCCTACAACCACCCGAACCAGAACAGGAACGAGAAAAGAGATCACATGAAGAAGAAGAGCTGGATGAACATCCCAGCAAAAGATCAAGATTGGAATTCTTAGAAGCCTACCTTCTGAAGGTGGAAAACCTGATCAAGGGAAGACAAAGAAAAGAAGTTCGACTACAAGAACTTAACCACCGCAACCAGAAATGCTTCAAGAATGCCATTGGCAAGGAGATCCAGAATAACATCAACATTGGTGCTTACACCATTGTCAGCCCCGAAGAATCCGCTCGAGTCAGACAAACCATGCCGAACAAAATCATGGAAAGTCGACTGGTCCTCACACCCAAGCCACTGGAACCACACGAAGTGGAAAAGGCCAAAGAAGAAGAAATACTTCTGGATTGGGACACCGATGAACCCTGCAAGGCCAAGGCTCGCCACGTCATGAAAGGCTTCAGTGAAGAGGGGGCTGAGAACATTGAGGCGACCACTCCACAGGTGACTAGAGAAGGCACCCTCAC